GTGCGATCGATGCTATGTTGTACTTGACAGTGTCGAGCACTTTCTAGTAGCTGATGAAAGCTATCTGAGGAGGAGCTGGTATTCCATCGCACGCTTGTGGAGTTGATTTACGGTAACGACATATTTCTTACCACCGCAAAACACGTATTGAATCAACCTCAAGAGAAATGGTTTAAATTATTTCATAAATCATTCAATGTTTTGCGCCTGCGATTGATAAGCGTGAGGAAGATGAGTTCATTACTGAAGGAAGTAAATGTTCAGAGGTCAGCTAAAAAATTATTGGTTCACCAATGCATTAGAGTAATCATTCTCGGCTATGCTCATTCTCAAAGCTGTTAGTTGAAAATCTGTGCAAATTTGTAATGAATGAGAGAAGCAGTGCACTGGGTAGTGTACTGCAAAAGAGTACCACTGTATTTGGTTTCGCTGTCGTACGTTCCTTGCTAATTATATCATCAACTGTTGGATGGACAAGTTCAGACTTGGGTCTGAGCACTTACTTCATGCTAATGCTTCAGCTTCAGTTCGCAGGCATCATACAGCGTCAGCTGTGAGAGCAGCAACTTTTTCCACTTCTGCACAAGGCATCAAGAAATCTACTGAGGATCAGTGAAGCCTTTCAGATTGGAGTTTGACCATAAAACAGGCAAATAGAAACATGAATTATGGCTAAATTCGACAGAACGAATCAGCAGGGTCGGCATCTAGCTGTCAGTACTGTAGAAACTTTCATTAGTGCCGAATAATCATATAACTGTTGTTCATTTCATTGTTAAATCAGTTATTTCTCCACTTCACATATTGAATGCTATTCGGCTGTTGCATGGGCTCCATTACTGAAACCATTTACTCATCACTTCGTCAGGACCGCAGAAAGTCAATCATCCAGTCCGTCAGTTTCGATTACTTCTTATGTTTATGGGTCGAGAAGGTACCATAGTTACACAGGGTGTCAAACGTTTCCAGTCGTTTGCCAGTATCTGAACTTCAACAGATGGCAACTAGAGTCAGAAAAGCACTGTATCGAGGCATTTACTTTGTTTCATTTTTAGTTGTTTATGAAATCATACTTTTATTTGCCTTGGCATGTCGTCAAAGCCTTTGCTTCTTAAGTGATGTAGTGCATGCGACTGTAGGAAACACGGATCTTTGCTTAAACAGACAGAAGACAGAGATGATGATGAACTCAGTGCATAGCTGTTAAGCGTGTTACGGAGAAGCCATTTTGAAGAAATCATTAAGCATATTAAATATTCAAGGAATATTGTCTCATATGATATAACCATGCCTGAAACTTAGCAGGTTGATTGCGCTCGCTTTTAATGAATTTAAAATCCTCTCGAAAGCCCGGTCTGGAAAGTTTAAATCAATTCCTCCAAAAATTTATCGCCCTCAATGGCCGGTATTCCGGTACAGACTAGAAACGACTGTTGCTGCTGTTTGTTGAGATCATTACCTTGAACCGTTTGATAAGCAGAACGTTGCTTCGTCCTGATATCCGCTGTGTCTGCAACTTTTCAATGCTTTTGCTATAAGGCACCTTAGAATAGATTTGCCTCTACCTTGTTCCACCAGTAGCATGCTGATTTCTTGGTCAACGTCTGTCGTGTTTCGGCTCTCACACCAGAAACTCAAGGGTTCGAGAAAATGATGTATGCTCAACCAGTTAGTCTGACAACAACTCCATCCTCCTTTTCTTAATCTTCGCATCTACCGACGGTCACCTGTGCCCGAAAGAGAATAGACTCGTTCCTTACGTGGTTCTGCCATTTTACCCTCGTCATGCGTCGAAGCCAATGTTGCTGTACGCAGCATAACAGTCGTTCTCGCTTCTTTATTAGAACAACTGTCTGCAAGACCTGTAAAAATAGGTGCAGGTGGATTTTCGTGGCAAGAGCACCTCCGTTCTCACTCGAAATATTGAACAGGTTTCCTAGAGGTTAGGATGATCCTCCTGTTTAACTCTGGCTGGATACCGGATTCACTGAAAATGATGGAGCCGAGATACTTCGCTGGAAAACGTGTTCCATTTCTGAATCAGGTGGATTGGATGAGTCCCTTGTATCTTGCGACTTTCAGCGTTAAGAAAGAGGCCTCATTTTGCAGGTATGTTGCACATGGAAGCCGTCTGGTGATACAGCCGGCGTCCCGCACTACTTACCAGAGCAATCACAACTGCTAATTCCAGGTCAGCAATGTCTGGCCAAACATCGTGAGCTGCGCACTCCCAATAGAATAAGACCTTCGTCTTTGCCAAAGCTAACACTGTTTCAGAGAAGAAAGGTGAGAGCAACGTTGAATGCGAAGTCGAAAGCATATTTCTCTGGCGAACTCTATG